CCCCCCCCCCCCGCCATTACCCAAGCAAGGGTCTGCAAGCGAGGGTCATCAGCCTCATCCTTAGGCACATTTATAAAGCACTTTTCACTTTAGATTGCTCTGGTCAGCATGTCGTCCCATCTGAGCCTCAGTATTAGCTGCAGGCTGGAATTCTACAGATGGAGACCCAGAGGTCACAGGGCCAGGATGTGGTAGAGGCAGGATTTCAATCTCAGTTTTCTTATTCAAAATCCAGCACTCTGGCAGAGCTCTCTATCAACTGAAAGCTGCTATCAAATATTATAATTATTAGGACTATTATTCCATGTCAGAGTGTGTGTGGGGGGGGGCGGTGAGTGCACTGAGGGAAAGTCCAAAACAAAGGGCCAGGGAAGTTTTTCTCAAAGTGCTGAGACCTAGCTGTCTATATGAATCACGTGAAGATGCAGATTCTCAGCCTCACTCGTTATTACTGCAAAATTTCTCCCTGGGGCTCTGGAATCTGCATTTTGAACAAATGCCTTGATGATTCCGATGCATGCCCAAGTGTGGGAATCACCAGATCACAGATTCCAACTCTGGCTGCATATGAGAATCACCTGGGTGACCTGTGAAAAATTCTGATGCCTGGATTCCAACCCAGATCAATTAGAATAATCTCGAGGGCTGGAGCCCAGACATCGGTATTGTTAAAATCTCTCCAGGTGATTCTCAGGTACAGCCACAGTTGAGAACCACTGGACTGGGTGGACAAAAAGGAAGGTGGTCCAGGGAGGGGTGGTGGAAAAGAGGGAAAGGAGAGGAATGAGAGGACAGAGGAGAGGAGGGGCCACCTGGGCCGCACCTGCCGCTCAGAGAGGTCCAGGTTTACCGCGATCTCGTATCTCCGGAGCCGGGTCAGGTAGTTGTGGTGAGCAAACTCGGCCTCCAGCTCCCGCAGCTGCTCCTTGGTGAAGGCCGTCCTCTCCTTGCGGGCCTTGCTGCCACCTCCCAGCTTCCCTCGGTTCTCCTGGCTGTCTGGAGAGAGAGGGCCCCAAACAGAAGACATGAGCCAAAGGGGCCTCGGTTTCCTTTCTTTTGCCCTCAAGTAACTAGGCAGCCTCTCCTGGTCTCTCTTATTTTTAAGGGATGCTGAGCAAACAACCTACACTGTCCCCTTACTCCCGCAGTGTCTTACCCCAATGAGAATTGGGAAGTTTTTTTGATTCCCAACCTTAGGTCCCCCTCCCCACCACTGCCAACTTTTTAAAAATTCCCAGAGCACACGAAGCTGTTCTTGCCTGTTTAATGATGTCTACGCAGCTCACCCCCAGCATGACATTAGTGGCTGTAAGCTTGTGGGGCATGATGCTTCAAGACAAATTCTCAAAGTATGGTCCCCAGACCAGCAGCATCAGCATTACCTGAGAACTTGTAAGAAATGCAAATCCTTGGGCCTCCCCTGGGACCTACTCAATCAGAAACTTGGGGCAGGGATTG